TGGGAGTACTTACCACACCCAGTTCCCAGTTGCTGGGGATGGTGGACTGAGGATTTTCCTTTGGAGTGTTGAGTTTTCTCTTAGGAACACTGTCAGGTCTTATGTTGTTCATGCAGGGGGTCAACTATCTCCTCGTAAATCCAAATGCAATGCAGTCCCATCTTTAATTCTTGGTGGGATAGTGTTCCTCATCCTCTCCATAATTCCATGGGTCAGTGGAATTCTCCTTGCCCACTTGGTGGAGGAATAAAGACAACTGTTTGTAAATCCACACTGGATAAGTTCTGGACTTTGGTAGAGTATAGCATATGATCCCACCAATCTAGACCTGGGATGTTGCCTTTTGGACTTCTTCAGGTTGACCAGAAGGATTGTCCACTTTGGTGTTGTTTTCTTTCTCTCATAAATCAGATGGTTCAAAATGCATCATTCTGTGGTTACTGGTAGTTATCCTATCACAAATATATATATATATATACATGCAGTCCAATTGCTCTGGCCACCAATGTGGGATATGGGTACCATGACCCCTTAAATCCAACCCAAATTGTGGAACCTCGGCTGTTTGGTCAGAGTTGGACCATCATAATTGTATTATATTCCACCCTTTTCAATTTTCTGTAGTTCTGGGTGAAGAGCATACCTGTTCTGGATGTACTACGATGTTCCACACTTTGATACCACTTCTCGTGGTAAATATTTGTTTTCTGCAGATGCTTTCTGTATGATCTCTGTTCTCACCTGCCTCTCTGCCTTCTGAATGTGGGATTCTAGCTATTAGTGTCAGCAGAGGTATGTTTGTTTGGAAATACATTTTCAGTTTAGGAAAATGATAACTTTCTGTTGGGGAAGCTACACATTTGAGTTGGCTTGTTTGGTTGGAGAAGTCATTTTTGTCCCGATCCAAGACATCATCCTTCTTGGGGTTTTCTTTAACTCCTCCCTTAGTAGGGTTCAGCCTTCTCCTCTTCAGTTGTGATTAATGGAACTAATGTTTATCAGTGCTGAATCCTCTCCTTCATTCACTGCTAATGAGGTTCTGTCACTTTTGAGTACTTAGGCTTCCATGGAAGGCCTTCTTCCCTTGAGTCATGCTTCTCTCAATGGCTACTTCATGAACTAGGGAATCTTGTTTGGGATCCCTTGGATTGCATTTTCAAACTTCCCCCTTTCTACAATTATTTTTGACCTGGTCGCTCTACCGGGTCATTACCATGACTGGCATTCCTTTTCCACCTCCCTGTTCCATGTTGTACCTTTCACCAGATATATCCCATGGGTTGTGGGCATATTTGGTCGGGTTGAGTTTCCACATTACTCTTTTGGAACTTCTTGCAGTTCATTTGGTGTTGGACCATTTCCTCCATTTAGAACAGAACTGGTTGGTCATGATCAATTGTAACTGTTTGACCATTGTCTCTTCCAACTCTCGGTTAGGGATACCTATTCTCATTCAATTTCTTTTTGAATGTTGGATCTCCTCTTCTGGGTCCACTCATTGCATATTTGCTTGTTGGCTTATCATGTCCTGGGTGCACTCATTCTTGTTGCAGATCTGTTATCTTGTCCCCACAGAATGATCCCCAGGTCTTCCAATGGTTCTTCTCCTAGTGGGGTGCTCCTCTTCTAGTCAAATTTGCCACTGTCGTTAAGACCACACTCCCTCTGTTCTGATCTCTGGTTCCTCTTCCATTGGCTCTGGCAATGAATGCTTTCAATCTGGATTGAATCGATGATTACACTCCTACCTTTCTTTTCCGAGGTTTTGTCTGTCATCCAAGCCACTTCCTATTGAGTCCTTCTCATTGCCTCATTATTTTCTGCACAACTTCTGTTTCTGGTCCTTCCACAGCTTCAGCGATCTCCTCTTCTATCCAGGTCCTTTCTCCTCCAGTAATATTTATTGGTGTTTCATCCTGCCTTAGTCACACTCTGGCTTCACAATTGACTTTTGTCTGGTCCCATGTGAGGCAATCTGGATTCTCCACACATGTGGCAGCCCATTCTATTTGCCTTTCTTTCTTGGTGGTCTGTAAAAGACATTAGCATTTTTTTGCCATTGGTTTCTGCACCATGGTTACTTGCTTTCAAGTCCTTTCATTCCTTACCATTCCATATTTCATTTTGCTGTTTGACAGTGATCTGTTTGTGTCAACCATTGCAGACTATGTGGTGGCCTTATCTTCTACCTTCTTTTTGTTCCATTCCTGCATGTTTTCCCCTCACATCTCATATCCCTCTTGTTTTCATTCTTTTTGTCTTCTCAATTCCTTCTTGCCCTCTGCTCCTTCAAGAATGAGATTTCACTGTTATTCTCCATGTCCTTACCAGTCTCCTTTCAAACCATTGACTACCTGTTCCATATCCCACCAATGGTGGTCATCGTAAGTCAGATTTGTTGACTATCAATGTATCTGTTGTCATTATGTTTTCCTTCCCAAGACCTCAGTGGCTTGTGAAGGAATTCTCAATTCACACCAGTATTCCTGCTTTCCATTTCTTATATGTCTTTCCCATTATGATCTGGATCATCTCCTCTGCCTATTTCGTGCTCTATGATGTTAATCTGCTTGCACATCTTCCTTCATTGGTTCCAGCTCCCACCTCCTTTTCAATTGGAATCCTTCTTCTGCCTGTGACCTTTCCCCTGTGACCCTTACCTGTTGGATTTGCCAACTCATTCGGTTGTCTTATTCTTTCTTGTCTTCAGTTTCCCTTTGTATTATCATTGTCTCCTCCCACTATATCTCATCTTGCCCTATACCTGGCTGTTCTCTTCTGTTGTCTGTTGGTGGAGATCTTCCAGGCTGGCAGGTGGACTACACCACACACTTTCATCACACATTATTTACATTTGGCCATTTCCTTCTCCACAGAATACTGATTGCTGCCCATGCCATACTACATATCTCAACTTTGAGTGGGTAATTTTTCTTTTCATTTATTTCTTACTCTTACAGTGGCCCTGTGTCTTATGTAGGATCCCACTTTGTGATGAGTGGTGTCTGTCCAGGTATACTATTCAGCTAGGGAACACCCATTCTACCACCTCCTGGATGTTGGTTCCTAAGTGGTCTGGTTTTAGATGTGAGCTAGACCTGCCACAAGAATCTGCACTGTATGGCCTTTAAGGTCTATAATGCCCACCGTTGAGATGGGATGTTCTGAAAGACTGCTACTAGGTTCATCCTTGTGGTATATTGCATCATAAATGTTCCCATCTCAGTCTGTACCAACTCTTTGATTATCATGAGTAAAGCAGGGAAGGGATTGCTGCTCATCCATCCATTCCTGGTTGCATACATCAGGTTCAACCTGCTTTTAAAAAGAGGGTTCTGAGGTCACCCATTGCACTTTCTACAGTGTCATGTTCCTCCAAACTCTCTACCATACTATCCCTCCCCCTCTTTTAGTGGATGCTTCCTCTGATATGTGCTCAATCTCACACAGTTGAGCATAGAGCTGTGGTGTTCTGTTGGTGTAGATGATATGTACTCTTCTTTTACTGCAGACTTGAGGTACAATTCTAGATGCTGCCTGGTGATGGATTGCATGATTCTGCTGCATGCAGTTCAACCATCCAGCTTGGGATCCCTCCTTCCTACTGCCACCTGGATATCAGTTCCTGGGTGGATGGTGTTGGTTTCGTAGTGCAGTTGCACACATGTGCTTACCTGAGTTTTAGAATGGAAGTTCTTTTTCCCTACTGATTCCTGGGTGTGAGGTGAAGATGGTAAGGACCCTCCTTCTACCATGGCCAAGATGATCCATTCTCAGTGCTGCCTGATTTTGAACTTGCAGTTGACCCACTCTGCACCATCAGACGTGTCAATATTTTTTTGGATGTGCTTTTTTTTTCCACTCATTTAGCAACACATATCTTTACAACAGGCAAGGAGTATACCTGGTACAAATGTGGTGTGGTCCCCCATAGGTGTGTTCCTCTACACGGAGGTGTCACACTCCATGGGCTCTCATTGAACACTTTTTCGTAACTTTTCAATGGTCCCTCCACCATTTCAATGTGGGATTCTAGATATTATATGAGAAGAGGTAAGCTATTCTATGGGAATTTTTCCTACACTAAAAATGTATTTATAATAGGTACTTACCTCCGCTCATACTTTCCACCCATCCTCACCACTTCCGATGCTTCTGTTTGACCTAATCTTGAAGTAAAGATTGGGTTGATCTACAGTATAGAGGGAATCAGTTGTGCTAAGAGGGTTGTCGCATGCTCAGTTTCATGCGCTACAATGTAGCTGTAACACTTGGATGGAGGTGGGAGCACAAGGCTAGTAGCAAGTAAAAATGTTTGCATAGAGAGGGCAGTAATTGTCGAGAAAAGCTATTATGTGAACGAAGGTAAGGATCTATCGAAGTACATTTTCAGTGTAGGAAATTGTTAACTACAAAAGAACTTTAGTGTAAATTGATACATGAAAATTGTTTATTTTTTTGCTTGATTCATAAATCAGCACTATTATCATATTGGTGGCTCAGTGGATAGTGCTTTAGACTCTTAGTCAAAAGTTGCAGGCAGTCAAGGCTTGCCTGTGCCATATCATTGCATCTGGTATGACACTTTATCCTAATGTTTTCAGTCTACCCATTATATTGGGTAACTGGGTGTAGTTTGTAATGGAATGGCATCTCATCCAATGAAAATGTGTCACTATTCTCGTGTGTTTGTGCCATTGGAAACTGGAATTAAGCATTGGCCTTAGGAAGGCATCAGGTGTGAAGTTACTTACTGTGATTATTTTACACCTTTACATAGACTTTAAACAAGCCATTCTGTTATTGCATTTTTTTAATAATAATTTTGTACAATTGCTTATAAAACAAAAATAACCAATTTATAGTGAAAGTGCTTTTTAATATTCCCTTCATCAGTTATCATGGATCAAAACAAAAAATATGTTGCATAGTTGTATGTATGTGTATTATGTATTACCATGCTCTGTGTTTCTCCAATTGAGATTATTTAATTTCTATAGGCCTGAAAAGAAATGGATTGACATGTGATAAGATAAATTATGTTGTGTGTACGCATGGCCACTCTGACCATATTGGGAACCTCAATCTCTTTCAAAGAGCAACACAAATTGTGGGTATGAGTATTTCATCTGGGGATGTTTATCAGATTCATCCTTTTGAAAAGGTTAGTTATGAGAATTTGTTTCCTTTTCATAATGCTTGAAAATTACTTGAACGAGTTGAGAAATTAATTTTGCATTGGAAAATTGATACTCCCATGAAAAAGTTAACTTGGACTAGCAGTATACTTGTGCATCTAACAATAAAACAGTATTCCATGTTTCAGTTTAACTGCTATGTTTGTCATAGATGTTATAAATTAATGTAGGATGATACAACTTTATTAACATTCACAGATGACAGTAATAAAGTGTGTGCTATTTTCTTATATCATTGTTTACATCATAAAGCAAAAAATGTCTGTCCAAGTCTCAGTGACAGCATGCCAGACCTTAATCTCCTAATTTGTGTCCAGAAGTAGGACATTGCACATGTGTTGTAAGAAAATGTGATCAATGTTACTATATAACAGAAACCAAAACTATCATCATATTGGATATACTGAAATTAATTTTTTAAGACATTAAAGCTTACTCTATCCTAATACATGTTAGGCAGTGTTGGATAATTTTCTGAGACCACATTAAAATTAGCATAAGTCGTAGTTGTAACACATTCTTAGAATTAGGTCATACAGTGAGTTTAATTGACTTATTTTTTCAAGCCACAATTAAGCATTTTCATCACAATTATTAAAAAGTGAAACGTTTATGAATATCTGTAGTCTTAAGCCTGCAAATGATAGTGGTACTTATGTAACTTACTTTTATCATGTTTTAATAAATTTATTGTTACAATTGTAAAGTGTTAAACATTTATTGTGAATATACTTGACCTAAATGCATGACCACAAACAAGAAAAAGTTTTTAAATTACCAAACATTTGGTTTTTATACAAACTTCTCAACTACATTTGTTTGTACAATTTCATTGTTATTTTAATAAGTCAGCTTCGGGAAACCAGTAGTGGTTGGTGCTGAGAGATTCCCACCAACCCCCATCGTGAAAGTTCCAACAGCTGAGTGTAAAATGGCAAGCACACATAGTATCTACGTGACAGGGAAGCTGGAT